CGGTCAACGCCTACCCGTCAACGTCGACAATCAGCGATTGTAAGAGCTAAGTCGTTTATTAATATTTAACGGCTGCTTTACTATAAGTATTGGAGAAACTAGATGCACCACTAGAACCGGAAGATATATCTATGAACTTCCGTTTAGGTTGAAAAAATCGTTCCATAATCTACAATTGCAAAATACCCTAAATTAAAATTCAATCACCAATTCACAATCACCATCATCATTCAATGTGCAGTTAAAATATTAAAATTCATGATAAACTGGCTAGACGACCTTAAACTTACTGTAAACAAGTATAATAAAACTTTAGTGATGCATTATCATAAAGTTTACCTCTCAAAATTAAGAGTGAGAGCCAAGGTGCCAACAGGAATTGTAAGAGGGTGAAGGTTCCAAAGAGTCTCTAAAGAAGGGCAGCCATTTTTGCATTTGTTGTAGGTCTGGAAAGTTGCAGCGCCCATAATCCACAATTTTTTACTCTCTCCATCTCCAGATACCAGTCTGCTGATCTCCATTATCATGTATTCCACAGGACAGTAGTAGCCAATATTCCTTTGCTCTCTATATTTAGACCAATACTCAGAAACCCAATTAAGATCACCCAAATACAACACAATTCCTCTACTTACAGAACTTTTAAAAAATGACCTAAGCTCTCCAAGTTTCTCTTCATATTCTTGTCTAGAGACATTTCTCAGGGTGAAAAGGGGAACACTTATGAATTGTACAAACCTCATATCTAAAGGTACATCTTTCCTGTCAAACTTATGGATTACTAGGATTAAACCATAAAGGTATAAACAATCAGACATCAGTAAACCACTAAACCAGTATTACAGACTTAGTCACTTACAGTATATATTATCACAATATCACTCACAGAGACACTCAGACACAGCCCACTAGCCAGCAGCCACGGGCTGCCACCAGACACAATAATTAAAAAAAAAAATTTGATAGATACAAGAGTCAAGACAACAGAACAGCAGAACTTACAGTTTCGTCCCTCGGAGTCGTTGCTGCGCGCCGGAGAGTTTGCCGCTTTGCGACGGTGTCACGGACTCACGGTCACGTTGGGCTCTGAATCAGCTGACTGGTGGTGAGTGGTCGGTCGCCGGTCGGAGTCGGAGAGGGAGAGCTAAGAGATTGGGGAATTTGGCAAAATTAGGGGTGTCGAATGTCGAATTCGATTTCAAATTTCTTTTGATTTTGTAATTTTTGGATGGATTAAGGATTGGGCCAAGGAAAATGGCCCAATCAAATCCAATTAAAAAAAGATAAATGGGCCGCTTTGGCCCAATTTCAAAACAAACAAAATGATGGCCTGGATTATTGAGGCCCAATGACAAAACAAATAAAAAAAATGAAAGCAGGCCTTAGCATACTTTAAAAAAAAAAAAAAAAAAAAAA